CGTTTTAGATTTATTATAGTATTTGAATAGAACATGTGGCAATAATTAGATAATTTTTAAGATGATATTAACATTGTGCATTCTTAGATAAAAAAAATGAATGAAATGTAACGCTGTTAAGTGAACCTAGGGCCAGAGTGTCGCTATGATAAACAAATACATTTTAAAGAGTGCATTTATTCTATTGGGGTTTATGCGCTATCCACAAAATAAATTTAATTCAATCCAATAAGTTTAAATGAAATGCAAGAAAAAATGCATATAATTTAATATTCCGTCTATTCACAAGGAAGCCATGTGGTGTACACATGAAATTTTTTTAAATTAATTTTTGTTTTTGTAAATTATGTGCATGTATATCTATCCAACTATAAATTCAGCATGAAAAGTAAATCCAACTATAAATTTAGCATGAAAAAGTAAATGGTGCCTGCCGTCCAACAGATATTCTAGAATGTGCTCATAGGGACAGAAAAGTTGGGAACCCCTGCACTAGATAATGCCAAACCAAATATTAAAATTTAAAGACCAAAGATACATTGGCAGAAAATTGTCAGAAGTGGGAAGTACTGTTTTGAGCTAGTAATGAATGGCATTGAGAGCATCATACTTTCTCTTGGAATCTGGTAAGATTCTTAAGTGTGGAAACTGTTATGGTTTGCTATAACGGTAATCAATGTCATAAGGCATGGATAAGTTGGAATTGTTTGTAGAAGTGCCATAAAAGTAGAATGAAGAAATTTCAGACAAAAGAGGAAAGTTTCCCTGATAATCATATGGTATGCAATCTACCACTTATTTATTTCTTATGTGATTGATGCCTTTTAAATGCTGTTTTTAAATTCGAATGTGTGATAAAATGGCAGGAAAAAGAGATGATTAAAACAAAAGCCAGTTTTATTGCCACCATCTTAAAAAAAAGTAAATGACTTTACTAAAAGCAAGAGATGTCAAAAATTTAGAATCTATTAAGTTGTTTTTTTTTTTTGGTTCAAAATGCAATTTTTATCCTGCAACCTGTAGGCCGAAGCAGTAGCAAGGGCTTGAAGAATCATTACAGAAAGCAATTCATTTTAGCCATTTTTGGAGAAGTACGATAGCCATGTAGATTATAATGTTTCATTTCTTGATGTAAAGCTGGATTTGTCTGGGCAACTTATTAATAAAAAATAGTTTGGGCATGCTTTTCTAGCAAAAGGTATTGAATATAAAAAATGAGGATTTGCCTAATGATAAGAGGCTAAAAAATATGACATTTCAATATTTTAAGAATTGAAGATGCATTTTCTAATAGTAATGAAAAATGCTAACACTAAAAGATTTTTACAGAAAGCAATCGTATTAACACAGTGGATGTCAAAGCTGTAATGTAGTATGCCATTAATAACTTTTATTTATAGAAACTATAGAACCAAATGTGATGGATCCTCTTCAGTTTTATGGCAAAATTATGAATGAAAGCTTCTTGAAATCTAGCAGAAAATTAGATTTATATTTGAGCTCAAACATTAAGTTGAAATTTAATATTTCTATTTGTTTCTAGTTTTTTTACATGTTTATGGCTAAAGTGATTTTTTATAAGTATAAATGAAGTAAGAATTTCTTATTTTATTTATAATTATAATTTCTTTATAATTAATTTTTAATTAGAGAATAGCTGAGCGAGTAATTCATTAAAACTCAATAGATAAGCATAATTTAAAGAGACAGATACTCTGTAGGAATTTATGCTGCAGTAAACCCTTGCCAAAGTCTGGGGAATTATGTCATATATATATTGTGCTTAAGGCAAAATTCTATTCTGCAAAGTTAATCTTCCGTGAAACAAATATGTTAGGTTTTGTTCAAATCAAGAAAATATATATAATTTAAACAAAACTAACTATTATATAATTAAAACGAAAAAAAAAAAAAAAACTATTTTCACTACTGCTTAATAACTAGGTACATCATACAGTTTTTCCCCCTTTAAGAGCTGTGATTTTTGCTTGGGACAGTGATTGATGCAATCTTTAATAAAAGTTTTTTGGTAAGGATCACAGTTTCTCATTGGTTGTGGTAAAGTGTCCTCCTTGTACTTTTGCCCAATCCCTGTTGAAAATCTGTCAGTTTCTGCGCCGTTTTTCAACAGTCTATTTAATTTCTTAAAAGTGAATGGCATTTTTCTTCTTCACTGTAGCTGCTTTCTCTGTCAGTTGGTGTTATAAGATCATCCAATTCTCCATTCATCATTTTGCAGTTATCATTCTTAATCAGTTCTTTGACATCTTCCATATTTAAAATCATTCATCCCTAAACTGGGTATGAATAAAGATCTAGCACTGGATGTAAAAATGTTCGAAATTAAATTGAAACAATCTACATGTATAGGTAACATGTATGTGCAAAATCACATTCCGCAAAACTGCATTCTGCTAAGGTTTACTGTATAATACTGCTCCATAATCAAGGTAATATTTTCTGGCTGTAATTTAAATTTGCATTGCAGCTGGCAGTGCCTTTTTTAGGTAACATTTGTGATAGTCTTCTTGATTTCACTTTTCCTTTTCTGATAATGAACATTTCATTTATGCATTTTCTTTTACCCCATTTTTATATCATTCTTTATGTATACTCTTTGTAAATGTGCAGCATTTAATCCTATAGAGAGAATTCTTTAAAAATCTATTATTGAAAATTTTGCCCATGTTGTTCTGTTTCCAAGATGGGAAATTTAACTGGGGCTGGTTTTACTTCTAAGCACATTGCAGTCCTCTCATATAGGAAAGGTTGATAAGAAGTCAGTACTCATAAGTCCTTTCTTTTATTGCAGCTGTAGATAATTTTTTGTAGAAAGTTGAAAGAATGCATAAAGAGTTTGGGGGGGTATAAAACCCTTCATACAATTTTCTAATATGATTGTTAAAATTTCATTATACGGATACACATGCTGTGGATGTTTGATTAGAATAATGGTGCAGAAATTGTTTCAGAAACACTGAACTTTAAAAATCACCCAGTTTTAGTAGTTGAAGATCATACGGCTTTTACAAGTTTAAATCTTTTAATCATAATTCATGACTGATTTTAATTCTTTCTTATCCAATGGAGTAACTATTGAAATTGTGGAATTTAAAATAATAAAAAAGACTCAGATCTGCTGAGATTTCCACTGTGTCAATAAAATTGCAAAACGTGGCTTTCTCTATGTGCTGAATGCAAATTAAGTGATGAAGTGTATTTAAAAAAAAAAAAAAAAAAAAAAAAAAACATTGATGATTTTGCTTTAGAAAGAGTGGGGATGAATTGTATGAAAATGTCTGATACAGTCAAAAGTCTTTAATCCGGACGTCCATCATCCGGACCTCAAAGCTACGAACTTTCTGCGCATGTGTCGACGCATAATGCGTTAACGCAAGCGCATAATAAGTTTACGCATGCACGTTTAATGTATAACGGACGGTATAAGCTAAGCTTAAATTATCTAATTATCTATTTCAGTTAATGTTGCAGATTGCATTGTTCCTTAATCTTCTAATTAAATTCGGCTTATTATTTTTTACAGACTGTTAGAGCAATTTTATAAAAGCAAGCTTGAACTTTCGATTATGTCAAAAAGAATTTTCGATTTTGGAGCTACCAAAGGATCTGCAAAGCGAAAGCATGTTTCGATGTCCATCAAACAAAAAGTGGAATTGCTGCAAAAAATGGATAAAGGCATATCCTTTGATTCTCTAATCATTCCGAAATATGTTTATCATTTTCACGCTGCTCTGCAGGGGGGGGGGGGAGAGACGCGGCACACAATGAACTGGAAATTGATCTGTCAGCACTATCCTTATCTTCAGGGCAGATGTTTTTATTTTATTCAGCTTATAATTCCTTACTAAATGTAGTATTTCATCTCGAGGTACTCCGTCTTTGTTATGATTTAAATCAAATTCTTCGTCCTTATAAATATCACGAATACACGTCAAATAGTTTTCTGATTGCAATTTTCTAATTTCGACTATGCGTAATGTATGCTTTACGCATGCGTAACTTTTCTTAATTTCTTTCATTTACATGAAAGAATTTACTTTTTACTTAATTTCTTTCATTTACATGAAAGAAATGTTTAATTAAGTAAACCAATAAATATTAAGAAAGAAATGTTTAATAAAGTAAACCAATAAATATTAAGCTTTTTTTTTTTTTGTAAATTTTGATACCCTTTAGATCATAATTGCTCTTTATTACATAAATTACGGTTTCATATTTTTAATTTTATAATTTCTGCATGTCATCTTACCATATTTAAACTGATGGTCTATAATCCGGAAAAACTGATAAACCAATAAACCGGAATCGCCGAAGTCCCGACGAGTTCGGATTAAAGACTTTTGACTGTATTAGTTATACTTTTTCATTATAATTTATTTTAACTGAATTCTGAATAAAAATTTGTATCTTTTCTTAAGCATTACTTAATATTTTCTTAGAAACAAAAATTGAGATTAAAGATTTATGTAAAAATAATGTGATATTCTAAAAATAATTACGCTGAAATCTGTTAAGTGGAAAAGAGTGCATACTTTTTATTCTGTCTTGGGTGAAGAAATGCTTAGGCTTGGCTGTTCTGTTATTGCAATGCCACTTACACATACCAGTTTGATTGTATATTTGACACCTGCACTGTTGTATTATTATGTGATGACATACTTTCCAGTTTAGGTCAGTACTTTTGGGGAATTTCAGAGAATATAGTTATTTTCTTATTTTATCTTTATTCTCATAATTTCCAGTGTTTTATTTGCATAGTTCCTTTTAACATGCTGCTCACATTATATGCTTTTAAATGAATCTAAATTTATTATGCACTTCTACAAGTTGTATCGAAGTAATGCAAATATAGTGTATAGCATTGTTTCATTATTGATTAATGAATATGTTTTATGTTTGGTAAATTTTTATTTGTTCATAGTATCCAATTTCTTAAAATTTTTCTAATAAATATCTAATATTTGTTTCCTTTGATATAGGTTGTAACAAAGATGACAAGAAGTCAAAATCATTTTCCCCAGTGCTATTCAATTCTTCATTAAATCCTGATTCCACTGTGACATCTGATGTCCAGGCGCAAACATCAGCATCAAGTATTGTTTCATCTAGCAAAATTCTTGTGGAAGAAAAAAGTTCTTGTGTATCATCTGAAAGCTCTGTTCCCTTAGTCAGTATACAAACTTCAATACAAAAAGAAAATCATTCAGAATCTAATACATCTACAGCAACTTCTGAATCATCGACAATACCTTTGGTAACTTTACACAGTTCAGGATCTTCATTAGGCATAGAAAGCAGAACAATATCTATAAAACAAGAAGTTAAAAAGGAAGCCTTGTGTACAGAATCTGTTCATGTTGTTAGCACTTCTAGTAATCCTGTTGTAACATCTTTGTTATCTCCTGTTAAGTATTTACCTTCTGAAGTAAGTAGCCAAAAATTTAAATTAATTTTTAAAGGTGGAGCGCAGAGATCAACATTACAAGGCACAAATTCTCCTACAAGCCTTGTTGTTCCTCTCAATTCATCAAAAACTGTTCCCATTAAGTTAGTGACTTTGCCTGGTGTTGCTTCAGCCCTCTCTGTTCGCTCAACATCAAATCCTAATATAGTGGAAATTATTGGACCCAAAACAGCTTCATCACAGAATTCGCCAACTTCAGGTAATCCTCATTCATCGTCACCAGTTCGTTTAGTTGTATCAAAAGTACCCCCTGGACTTACATGTACAAATCAGAGTGGCTCGATAAACAGAGTTGTTGTTAAATCTGTTGTTGTTACTGGCACTTCTCCTTCTATAAAACTTGTTTCAGCTAATACTTTATGTACAACATCTGTTCTATCTACTTCTTCAGCTTCAACTACCTCATCTGGTGTGCAGAATGTATCATCTGCTTCAACATCTAATTCCACATCAAGCCACAACTTCAAACTTCCAGCAGAAGACTTGAAGCCTATGAATGCTGAAAATTCAACAGCGCAGTCAGTGGCTGTCAGTTGCACATCAGATCGAAAAATCGTTGGAGTTGAAACAAACAGTTTTCGGGACACTAAGGAAACATCTGTCTCTCAAAGTTTACTTAATTCTTCAAGTACATCGACTGTAAGATGTTCCTCTTCTGCTGACAGTACAACAAAAGATGCACTCCCCCCTGATTCTCCGTGTAAGATTTCTTCTACTGATTCATTGTGCAAACAAGCTGCTAATGCAGATTCTTCAACATTTAAGTTCAGTGTTGCCCCATACACTACATCCCAACCATCAGCTGATGTCACTGTAAATGCAAAAATTACCTCATCTGATAACCATACACCTGTAAAATTATCATCTTTGTGTCCCCTTAGCACTGATTGTGTGTCTTCTGAAAATACTGGGAATTCTGAAAGTAATCAATGTGATAATGAAGTAGATTCTAAAAAATCTGCTGTTGCTGATACTACCACAGAGCACATTGCAAGTGAAGTGTCTTCAGTGTTATGTCCTGAAAAGCCTTTCAGTAATAATGAAATAGGAAGTTCTTCAAATTGTACAGAAACTGTAGAAATTACTGACCTTAATAATAAACAGAATAATAGTTGTGTGATAGGAACTGAAGCAAATGAAAGGACTTCTATCAATTCTTCAACTAAATCAGATGACTCAATTAAAAGTGAACAAACTGCTGATAGTGCCATTACAACTAGCTTGAATTACATATCTAATGAACTTGAGTCATCTGATGTAGCTGACAGTAGTTTAATTTCTACCCCGCCTTCGTGTTCTGAAAATTCAGAAAATGAAGTTAAACTGCAGCAAGAATCTTTGACTCCTAATGCTGATACAAATGTAGATAATTGTGTAGGCATAGAGGATCCTTGTGTAATTGAAAATGAAGTTACCATAGCTAGCAACATTGAAGAAGTTTCAGAAACTTCTGAAGGCAGTGATTTAGTTCAAAATAGAGAGCTTGAGTGCAATGATGTATTAGGACATTCTTTTGGTGTTGAATCTGCACAGAATGATTTGTGTCAGGATACTGAAGTGGTACTTCAAGCAGAAGACACTGACTCTCTTGATGCAAAATGTAATAAATTCCGTCCACTGGGTGATGAAAGTATTGACATTGTCGATGGTGTGGATTTAGATGGTGCAAAGGTTGTAGAGGACTCTCAGCTTGAAATATCTCTAGTCTATTCTAAGCCTCTTAAAAGAAAGTGCTCAGAAAATGCTGCTGAACTTATTAAGGCCTGCATGGGTGTTGAGGATGGCCCTAAAAGGGGAGTTGTGGTGAAAACGAAGTCTTCAGAGGACATTATTGAGAAGATTGAGCATGAAAAGTTGGAGGAAAATGTAAGAATGAGTTTGAGGATTAGAAGAGATGATAGTATCTTGAAGAAAAGTAAAGGTAAGTGTAGTTTAAATTGTATGCAAAACATTTATTGAGTTACATTCGTACTACATATATTTTATTTTAACATTCTTTGCACTGAAAATCTTTTTTTGGAAAATTTGTCTCTTGCTTAGTTATTTTATTTAAATTATATAATCAGTGATGTATCCTGGAGTTATCAAGGTGATCTGTAAACAAGGGTAACACAATATTTTCTTCATATTATAGATATCTTGTTAATGTTCAGTGTGCACTATCTGAAATATTTGCAAATAATGAAAAAGTCATAAATATTTATGTGTCAGCTTTCATTTTGAAGTCAGTTCAAGACTGTACTTAATAATAAACAGAATGATAGAAGCTTTAAGTAGTTGAGTCTTCATTTAGTAATGGTCTAATAGCAAATGTTTTTTTTTTTTTTTTTTTTTTTTTTTTTCGATCAACTAATTTTTACCTAAGAGACAAACAAATGCTTTCTCATAAGTTACATGATAATGTATTTAGCAAGGAGCAGAAATATTGACCTCAGTTAATCACTTCATTTACTGAGTGTTGCTCAGTCATTTTGATATAAATTTAACAATTTTTAGTTTAGTTTTGGTTTGGTTTTTATTGGATGTATGGGGGAAATATGTAGTTTTACATACAGGCATAGATTTAAAATTATTTACTTATATTAGAGTAGGCATAAAAAGCATATAATTGGCCATCTGTATGTAGTATGACTCAGTTATTTTGTAATGTTTAAAGAACAGAGGCATTTATTACTAACATCTATCATATCTAATTGTGAAAATTATAAGTTAAGCGATTTGAACTTCTATGGTTGCAAATGCTTTCTGCACCTATTGTGTCACAGGCATGCCTCAGGAGGAAGATGGGTATTTAGTAGATCAGTATCTCATAAGTAGTATTATAAAACTCTGTGAACTTAATGTAAATACATATGATGGAGAGAATATTTCATAAAATGTAAATTTGTATCTTGCTCTCATGAAGTTGTTCAGTATATGGTGGGTTTTTTTTTCTTTTTTTTTTTTTTTTTTCAAATTTTGAAATTTCTTTCTTCTGAAAGTATATTTATATGTATAAGTAGGAATTACATTTTACATGTAAAGTGCATATATAGCATAAACTACTGTGTTTGTGCTTTTTAAGTTACCTGTCTTGGGTAAATATTTTTATATTATTTTGTCATGATGTTGAAATATATTGATGTTTTGTGTTAACCCTCTGAGCGGCCAGGGTTTTCGCTAAGAAAACACAAATTTCCCAAAGCTACTATGAGAACAAATTATTTTTTTGATTTTAATGTAAAAACAAGGGCTGTGGAGTCGATAGGAAAAATGACCGACTCCTGGAATTTTAATGACTCCTACTTGACTTCCTCATACATATATATACAGTTAGTCAATAAAGTCTGCGTACATCAAGAAAAGTAACATCAAATCCAAATTTTAAGGTGCGAAAAGGGTAGTTCTTAAAGTTTTATTTTTTAAATATTAGTTTAATAAGGGACTTTGAAATTATTTAACTGTAATATTTTCATATCTAATAATTTATGCACACTAATTTTAAAAGATAAGTGGCCAGAAATCAAAGCCAATAAAGTTTGCGTACAACGCGAAGGAGGCAGGGGATTTTTTATCTAACTTTTAAATTTCGAACTTGAGAATGCAAAGAAGGTTACACTTTCAAGATCATTGACTTCCGAAGCGAATTTCATGTTGATTGGAAGTTATTTCTATTTTCTTTGATGAAAATGACAACCGATAAAGAAATTCCTTTAGTTACAAGACAACTAATTATCAAATTGGGAGATGAAGGTAAAACTCTTCGTTATATTGGTAAAACCATTGGAAAATCATTTTCTAGTGTGCAAAGAGTTATTAAAAACTATCTTGACACTGGTAGTCTTGCTGTAAAAACCAAGATGTGGGAGACCGAAGAAGCTAACGCAGATAGAAGAAAGAAAAACTCTTTTACGAATTAAACAAAATCCTAAATTTTTTGCTGCAAGCATTGCAAAAGACTTTTTGTAACTAGCAACAAAGGAAATTCTCCTGAAACTGTACGAAAAAGTGCTGCGAAAGGCGATTATCATGGACGCAAACCTAGGTCTAAGCCATACATTCCGAGACAAATAGAAAGAAAGAATTGCTTTTGCCAAAACACATTTAACTCTTCGCAGGACTTCTGGAACAATGTAATTTGGTCAGATGAAGTAAATTTACAATATTTAAAGTTCATGGCCACCCTATGCATGGAGGAAAACCAAGAACAGAACTGAATCTGAGAAATTTAAATCCAACTGTCAAACATGGAGTGGCGGTGTGTGTATGGGGGTGTATGTCGTCGAAAGGATTTGGAAATTTTCACATTATTGATAAAGTCATGGATAAGTAGGTTTATCTGGTTATTGATAAAGTCATGGATAAGTAGGTTTATCTGGATATTCTGAAGAAAAATCTACGAGACAGTGCCTGAAATTTAAACCTGTCTAATACCTTTATTTTCCAACAAGACAACGACTCGAAACATACAGCTAAAATTGTGAAGGAATATCTCCTGTATCACACTCCAGTACAGTTGCGTACTCCTCCACAGTCACCAGACCTCAATCCAATCGAACATTTGTGGGCAAAATTGGAGACGAAGAAGAAAACGAATTCGAAAACCCAATATTACGTCGTGAAATGAGCTAATTGTAAATTGCAGCAAGAATGGACGAAATTTACAGCGGATGACACTGAAAACTAGTTCAGTCAATGCCCAGACGTCTGCAAGCTGTTTTGAAGAATAAAGGATATCCTACAAAGTATTGAAGTAACGTAAAAAACTTATATTTTGCTTTTTTTTTGAAAGTGTATGCAGACTTATTGGAAGGAATTTCTGATTTTTTTTCACAAAATATTTTTGAAAAAAGTTAAAAAGTATTACACTGATATTATTTACTTTTATTTAAGCTTACAAATTTAGCTAATAGAGAGAAAAAAATGCAATGATTAAAGTACATTTTTCTGCTTTAAGTGTTTTTTTAATTTCAAATTTAGTCGTACGCAGACTTTGTGACTAACTGTATATATAAAAATATACACATGGGTTACAGCTTATTTTTTAATAATAAAGTAAGTATAGCTACAGGGGAAAAAAATTCATGGCATAGCAAATTATATTAATTAGCATTTGTTATGGAATGGAAAAACTGGCATTAGTTATTTCTAAGAAACCGTATAGTTTTGGTAAGATTTTCTTTGTTGGAGGGCTATAGATTTGATTTGATAAATTTCAGAGCGGAGAGGAGTCTTTCCACACTAACTTGAGTAGGAGGAAGAGCTGTTACTATTAGGGATACTTCTTTTAACTTTTCAGGATGGATTTTTATAAGTTCTAAAAAAGGTGTCTTGCAAGCACAGTTACATTTCTCTATTTCTACATAGGCCGTGTAGAAATCTTGTTTGTATTTTTTCATATTTATATCTAAAGGCTCTTGTTTTTTATTTTTGTAGTTGTCCACAGTTCGTAGTTGCCTACAATAAGCTTTGCCTGTTTTCATGTCTTCCTATACAGGTCTTAAACAAGATTTTTTTTTTTTAAACCCAGAAACTTTGAAAGAAATTCCTGAATTTTTCCTCGTAAGTCGTAATTCTTACTTAAGTAACACAGCAACGATAATCTGAAATAAACTTTGTAAGCGTACTCGCATGTCATCAAAATATTAAACAGCAATCAGTCAAAATTCATAAAAACACCTGCAATTAGTGCTGAAAACTGAGTGCATGCACAGTCATATGATTGACATTTACAGGGTATCCAGCAGAAGAGTCCTTAGATTTCAAAAACAGAATATAAAATGCAATTATACAGAAGTTTCCAAATAATAATTAGGAAAACTGTATTCATATTTGATGCTGTGTGATGCAAACAGATGGAGCTGTAATTACAGTATGTAGTTTGTATAAATAGGGCTCCAAAAGGTGCGAAAAACGGAAATTCCACCCCTAAAACATGCAAGGAGGTTGAATGAATTATGAAACTATTTTTTTTAATATACAGTCAAAAGTCGTTAATTCGGACTCTTTGGGATTTATATGATTATGCAGCATGAAAGTGATAAACAGATTTCGGAATGGTTAGAGAACGAAGGATTCCATTTTTTTGCAGCAATTCCACTTTTTGTTTAATGGACTTCGAAACATACTTTCGCTTTGTAGATCCTTTACATATTAGTAAATATATATCGGAAATTCTATTTGGCATAATCGAAAGTTCAAGCTTGCTTTTATAAAGTTGCTCTAACAGTCTGCAAAAAATAATAAACCGGATCCAATTCGAAGATTAAGGAACAACGCAATCTGCAAAATTAACTGAATTAGATAACTTTAGCTAAGCTTATACCATCCATTATACATTAAACGCGCATGCGTAAACGTATTATGCACATGAGCACACTCATATTCGCAGCCGTAAAGATCTTAAGTGCATGCTTCAACGTGACGCTTGCGCAGAAAGTTTGTAGCTTTGAGGTACGGATTATAGATCATTCCAGATTATGGATGTCCGAATTAACGATTTTTGACTGTATTTACATAAAAGGAAAGTGTGACAGAGGGGAAAATGTAGTGGAGAGATTAGATTATTTTTTTTTAGGAAGTAAAGAACTAATTCAGAAGTCAAACAACAAAAATCAGCGTTATATTTTCAAAATTTTCACAGGACTAGTTTCGATGGTTTACCAAACCACCATCCTCAGCGCCAAAACCGCACATGAACAAGATAGGAATAATGATTAGATAAGATAAGAAAGCCTGACAAAAATAAGCAAGTGGTGCCATCTGTGGTGAAAACCAGAACTAAAACAATTCTGTAAAGGCTGAAGGCAAAAATTGAGTGAATTAGGATCGTTAACAGAACAGAAAGATTTTTTTTGTGTGAAACGCCTCTAGAAAATCAGCTCCAATGAAGATGTTTTTTGATAATTTTGGCAGCAGAAAAATTTAAAGTGTGATTTTCGG